CTGGAATGCTCAATGTGACGTATCAACTCGGGGAATCTCTGGTAGATGTCGTTTTCAGTTCCTCTCGAGCCTCTCCTCTCCCCAACCGCCCTGTCGCCGTATCCCTACAGTGCCACTCATCATCATCATAATAATTGTCATCAGCCTTCCGATGATAGAAGTATAGCGCCTAGCGTTGTTGACTTATCACAGTTGCGATGTACTTCCTGTGGTAAGCGAACACATTGGTGCGAATGCATGCATCAGTCGTAGTAGCTCATGAAGTGTGTAGTGTTGGAGTTAGACATTGTCTGGGCTAGACATTGTCATTGACAATGACAGTTGCCATCGAGCAACTTGTCTGATAGACAAGTTGCTCGATGGCAACTCTTGTCACTATTCGGATGAAGCTTGAGTGCTGGTGTTGCTGCATCTAAGACTTTCAAGAGCTTGAAGTTGAAATCTGAGTATTCGACTTGGAAGCACCCGAATGCACTGAGTGCATTGTAGATATGAACTTTTCACTCGAGCTAAGTTCGTGCAAGAGGACACATCATCATCATCATCATCATCATCATGAGAAAACAAGAGGTGGCAGTTAGGCTGTCCGAGCTACAGAGTTCGATGTCTGTTCCATCACAGCACGGTAGATGACTTCCTTTATTGTTCGTCTAGGACAGTACGGCTGCAGGTCTTCATCCCAATCGAGAGTTACAGCAGTGATAAGCATCTCAGCGAAAGCCCGCTGGATGCGATCTGTATCAAACTCGTCAGCAATAAGACTCCAACCAGGTCTTCCAGCTTGTTCTCTGACGTCGCTGTTTTTGAGAAGCTCAGAGGCGACTTCTATCATCAGCCGGGAGGAGTTCTTCCAGAGCTCGGGGGACTGTGCAGAGGAGGCATTTCCCATCGCGGTCCTCAGCATGTTCAGACCTTCATCAGAGATTTGCAGTCTGACAAGAAAACGATAGCACTGGAGAGCGTCTTCTTCCTCACGAGCAAGGCCTTTTGGTAGAGTAGGATAGGGCCATGCTCGATAAGAATGCGCGTCGGCTCTGACTGTCCCACGCTACTGCTAGCTGTGTCTGGAGGTCTTCCTGCATGAGGACAATCATATCGGGAAAAGGTGGTATCTGAGATCCCACCTGACTCCAAGGATGGTGGTAGACTGGGGTAGTCCAGCTCGCTGAGTGAGGCAGATGTGGGATTGCGTGTCGCCACATATAATAGGAGATAACAAATATCGCGTATTCGCCAGGGTGAGCAGCCATTGCCGAGGATATTGTCCGGAAGAAGCGAACACAGTCGACATGATCTCTAACAGCATCGATGATCTGCTCAAGTCTCCGCCTGGCTCCCTCTATAATGGCGTCCTCGCAGCTATAGTTGCTGCCTAGGGTGTAGCTGCTCTCTCTGGGATCGAACGTTGTTCCTCCCGGGCTCATGTTGTGGATCATGCCACGGGGCACATTACCACGGGTAGAGCCTCCCATCCTGTGAAGGGAATTTCTTTCAATTGCCCAGTCGACGAACTTTCCACTCACTTCAAGTACATCGAGGAAGAATCTACGAAGTAATAGCCGCTATTCTCGTCCAACTTGGCGCTCACCGATGCCCAGTACTGTCAAGGGAAGATGCACAGAAAGGGGTCAGGGATGATAGAATGCTCACAGTTTGGAAGGAGCGGACTCTAGTTGGGCTGCAAATTCGGCCATCTGGCAGTGAGCCTCTGGGATATTGAACTTCGAGTGTGCATTCGGGTTCCTGAGGGTAGACGTAGCTCACACTGTTGTGGATGAGGACAAGACTCACTCTTTCGGACGGAGGAGTGGCTGCTGAGGCTTGACACAGCGAGGCGAGGATGATGAGACCGGAGAACTGCATTATTCACTATCAAAGGAGGAAATACGTATCGTTTACGGTGTAACGATCAGTGGAAATCGGCACTGGAATTACTCGGAGACGCCCGAACTTTACATAACGTATAGGACGATGTTGTGCGCTGTGTGTGTGAGTTTAAAGTCCAACGCCTACTACGACAACACGGCTTAGTTAGACTCGCATCGATGCACATCAGATAACTAGGGATCAGCTTCAGCCTTTTAAATTGTCTACTTTCATCATGCCAATGAGTTTTGTCCATAGGGCGAGATAACCTCAGCCAATGTACTTCCTTTCCTGTTGGGCGCTGAAGAACGTACGAAACATTATTTAACACTTCTACTTCTGCTCAATATAATCGTGCGTAAATCATCATCAACTTTCTTTTACAATTCTTAATAATATTAAGCCACTCCAGCAGAATCACCTCCAAGTATACAGTGCGCTCGGTCACATCACCTCCCGCGATGAGGTACTCTCACTCTTCCTATATCTTGATAGATTCTGCCCCCATTCGTGCGAATTCAGCACTTACATATACATGTATACATAAAGCATTGCAGTGTTCAACGGTTGTGTAGTCAACAGTACTCCTATCAACGCGGAACGGGAAGGGTTTTATATACTCTCACACCTCAGCATTTTGGAGACGTAGCGACTCGCTCAAAAGGCCACGATTGTATATTCCAACGCTGGGTTATATATTTCCACTGATGTTCTTCTTCCAATAGGGATACTGAATCAATAGCGTTAGTGATGACCTTCAGTAGTTGTCATATCTTGTTCTTCGGATGTAGGTCACTGATACGACATGTCTAATCCCACGAGTAAGATTCCGAATAATGAGATCAAATACACCCCGACGATCGATGCAGATGGCGAGTCGATCAGTGTTTGGTAACGTAAGGAAGCAGAGAAGGGAAATAGGCGTGTTGAATACTGTCAGGTACACTGCTGCTGTTCTTGGGGGAGGAGACGGACGTGAGCCCAATATTCTCAGATGATCTCGAGGACCTGAGAGCCTATCTCTTGCATCTTCGAAACGTTACTGTCGATCAATAGAGTCTCTTAAAGGCGTTCACTTCATTCTCTATTGGGCCTGTGATAGAGAAGGAAGTTCCTACTGGCGCTGGTTGCAGTGGGGTAGACTTATTACTCTTGGCAATGACAAATAATGATCATGAACTAAGTGGCTTCGAATGCTTGCTGTGTTGTGTTCGTAAGTGCAGCATCGAACAGTCTTAGTGTTGGCGCTAGAGCCCTCGCGGACTACCCCTACTTCTCATGGTCTTCTTTATAGTCAAGATTGTACCCGTTGCCGCGACGACGGATAGCGACGATCCGATGTGTTTGCCCTTGGCAGAATCTGCTGTATCTTCTTAAAGTTTTTCCTTTCAAGCCCCCCCCCAAGACACGACATTACTTTGACCAGGTTACGCCTAATTGTTGTTACTCCAAAGCATCCTATAAGCATCCCGTAGTAGTTGACAACTACTGTTATGAATAAGACTTATAACAACGCGCAACTACTAGTTGCGTCATTCATGTACAACAACACTTCACTCGTTGCTCCACAGAATTGAAAGTGCATTCTCTTGAACTATCAAACGCAATAACGTCGACTTCCTATGGGAAAAGCAAGCAGTAGTAATCACAGTCATGATGCATGTGTTGATCGTCGTTATCATCATTCATCTTGTTCTTCACACCAACTCTCGATGGCTGAGGCGAGCTCCTCGGCGGTCTGTGGGGTGAAGGGTTTGGTGCAGAAATGGTCAAAATTATGGGCCCAATTTTGGGACTTGAGGTCCTCAACTCTGCCGGCCGAACAGCAAACCAACATGACGTTACTAAAAACAGTTACCGGGGATCGAACCGAGGACCTTCCGGATGGAAGTACCGCTCCAGTTCCTCGTTGTCCATCATTTTCCTTATGGTCTCGGCTGCCTCGGCGCCTCCCATCTTAGGTGGCATGTTGAGATCTAACAGCACGATAAGGGGGTCGTCCACATCGTCACTCTCCTGTAGCTCTATCTGGCAAGGAACCATAGTAGAGTCATCGTATACCAGTAGCTACAACGTTTTCAATTGCATCTTCACCACCATTAACTCTCCTGATTCGATCTTCGTCGAAGCCATGACAAGTAAGGCTCATCTCGGCCACATCCAAATTGTCGTCCTCATCATCAGCAAGGACCAAATCGATAGCCTCAACTCCAGAAAAGGTGGGCATGCTGATTTATCAACGTTAGATCCTGAGAAGGAACCATTCGGCATCACGGCAACCGTAAGATACGATACGTCGAGTTTGCGTTGAGGAAATGCAAGATTGCAAGATTGGCACACCTTTCCTCTTTAACGCGTGATCGATTTCGCTATAGCTTTTGCCCAGTCTTGGTCTTGTTCCTTTCCGAAGAAGTCATCAACCGCAGCGATGCCGTCTTACAACCGTTTCGTAGAGCCTGGTCGCTTCTGCACCGTCACTTACGGTCCCGATGAGGGCAAGCAGTGCACCATCGTGGACGTCGTTGACCACCGAAGGGTCGTTGTTGATGGACCTAAGAACGTCACTGGTAGTGTCAGGGGTGTTTTGGTAGAAAGAATATGATGATGTCCTCAGGTGTTGCCCGTCAGCAGATTCCCATCCGTTGGTTGGCGTTGTCGGATTTCGTCGTCCCCAACACTTTCCGTGGCGCCCATGGTCCCACTGTAGCTAAGGGCCTCAAGGAGGGCGAGGTCCTTGCTAAGTTCAACGCCACTCGATTCGCTCGCAGGCGCGTTGCTCGCAAGAACAAGCTTGCGTAAGTCACTCTAGATTGTATGATGATGAGTGCTGTTATTGTTTTATTATTTCAGCCTTACCGACTTCGAGCGTTTCAAGGTGATGGTTGCCAAGAAGCGTATCGGTCAGGCCCTGCGTACCTCCATCAACAAGGTCCGCAAGCAGCAGCACTAAGCAGCGTTTACTATGATGACTACGTCGAAGTTCTCATTTTCCGTTGTTGATACTAGCAGTAGTAGTAGCAGTGGATTATGATGACGACGACTAGGGCTGTATGATGACGACTGAGGCTGCATATTGTTATATGAGTTGTGTTGATGTGAAAGGATGAGGATACAAGTGGAGGAGTAGGAGAATCTTAGGTCGCAACTAGAAGATACGAAATAGGTCCAGATCAGACCCATACGGAACTCTGAGAATTATTTTCGACTTGTACTATGAGACTACATAAAGAGATTCACCCTCTTGTCACGTCGGACGTGTTCCATCATGTTAGTCTGTTCGGTTGTTTGCTCCGTTTTATTTGTAGTGGTAGTAGTAACAATGGCATCATCGGGGGCTCCTGTGGAATCCATCGACGTTGATGCTATCATTGAGAAGCTTCTCGAGGTAGTAGTATTATTACTATTAGCAGCAGCGAATTTCCAAGCCTATTATCATTTTCAACAGGTACGTGGGTGTCGGCCCGGCAAAGGAGTCCAATTGACTGATGGTGAAATACGAGCTTTGTGTAACAAATCTAGACAGATATTCCTAGAGCAACCAAACTTGTTGGAACTAGAAGCACCGATTAAAATATGTGGTATGTGTCACCATCTACGTGTCACCATGTGGTAGTAAGTATGTCCAACAGGTGATGTGCACGGTCAGTATTATGATCTTTTGCGGCTCTTTGAATACGGTGGATTCCCACCAGAAGCAAACTACCTCTTCCTTGGTACGCATGTTGCTGTTATCCCCACAGACGTACTTGTTTTAGGAGACTATGTGGATCGGGGCAAACAGTCGTTGGAGACTATATGTCTGTTGTTGGCGTATAAAATAAAGTATCCTGAGAATTTCTTCTTACTCAGAGGAAACCACGAGTGTGCCAGTATCAACAGGATTTAT